ATAGATCTCTAGCAGAGCACAGAACAACCAGAAAAGCGCCCACGAATCCCTTTCTCACGGTCAACAACATTGTCAAGGAGCAATATCGGAAAAGGTGTGCATGCCCCCGACAACTGGATATAAGTGAAAATCCATGTTGCAACGCATCAGGCTTGCAAGTGCGGTCATCCGTTTTTGAACATGAACTTGAAGCAGTCAGGTCACTAACTGTATGGGTGGTTTTTGCTTAACATTTAGCTCGTGTGCTCACCGGTGTAAATCATCGTAAATTTTGCATAAAGGAAGAATTTCCGTTGAACGGTTGTTCACCGGAAAACCACCCAGTTGTTTGGTGAGCAATTCCGCCGCCAAAACTTTGCGTGTCTGCATGTGTGGGTCACTCATGCCTAGGGGCTGGATTTGAAATTATTAACTTTCACATGGACAGTGAGCATCCCGTTAAAACTTCAGCCTTCCAGTTCTTCTGAGTTTGCAATTTCATCGCTAAAATTTTCATATGCCCGCACATGAGAGTCACGCATAGCTAGATTTGAACTTAAAATCTTTGAGTTGTGCGTGTACATGGAATTGCTCCCTAGAATTCCAGCTTTCTAGCCCTTCTGGTCCCAAAGTTAGGAGTTCTCCCGCCAAAACTTTTACATGCCTGCACACGGGGCTCAGACGTGCGTGAAGGTTAGTATCGTGGTCCTGAAATAGTGCTTGGCCGGGAAACCCACTGGCAAAATTTCACCGCCGAAACTTGCTTGTTTGTTAAGTTGAACAGATGCACACACAAACATACACACACATACACACACGCACACACGAACATAACATACGCGCAGACCAAGGGCTGCACAGCAAAAACACACATGTTGAGAAGTCGCCCGTGCGTGTGTGTAAGTTCGGAAGCGAGTGGACTTTGTCACCCAGTTTCAATTCAGCAAGCAGGAAAGCTGCGAGACTGAAATTTTGGAGGCATATTCCCATCCCATGCTTCACCCTCCCGTTTTAAAAACTTCGTTCATACGCACCTATATCTCGTGTACAGTCCCTCTAAAAATATGAATATTTCTTTGGCAAGTGAATTATACAAGATAGCTGAAATTTTACAGGGATATTCTCTCTGCATGTGTGGGCTAAAGATTTCAAATCCAATTATAACACACGCTTATACCGCGCGTACGGCAAAGTTTGGCACTGTGCTAACTTGAAAACTAGCCGGCAAACAGTAACTGAATTTTGTCAGAATGTTTATTGTTCATGTAGAAAATAGTGAACACAAATTGAGTTTCGATTTGCACTTGCGCCACGACTTAAGGCATTCCAAAAATATTTGTGGCGAAGTGCCTATTTCACTTACGGGATAAGCTGCGAAGCTGAAACTTTTCAGGGGTATTCTATATCCGCGTATCTTCTTAATTTAGCTTGGTGGTGAAATCCCGTGCACGCGGACATGAAAAACAAGCTCAAAAGCGAGTGCATTTTGCGGAATTCGTAATCCTCTTCGGACTTCCTTCAAATTTGCATTTTTTTTAGTGAATGAACATTCACCGGAAAACGACCGGGCTTCATGCCAAAAATTGATAATCGCGTACGGTAGCGATCCCTACGGCCCCACAATGCAACATTTTTATCCCAGTTAGCACTCTCCGCCTGCATGCGAAAAGAGTCCAATACAGCCATATGAATTCAAGTTTTAAACTACTGCACAAGAACAGCACAAGAATTCCTTCCGTTAACAACCTGCAAGTTTAGCGCAAAAACACATGATCGTACTGGCAAATTCGTCACAGCCTGGGGTTGCACTCGCATATATGCCAAACGCTTAATTGGCTGTTACGTGATGTTCATTGAAAATGCAAACTGTTCAGTGAGCAAGACGTGAAGAGGAAGGATGACGAGTTCGCACAAAACTCTCACGTACCCGTATACGAGACTCAGAAGCGGGGAAATTTCATACCACGTTTCTGGAATATATGCGTTCCCGCACTCTTATAAATGTGCAAAAATACATGAAAACCATTGAAACAACATCCCCCGATTAGGAAGCCCTTCACCGTCAGTGTCTTCCGTTGTCTATCAAATAC